GCAAGATTATTGCAAAATTTCATGTTTTCCGTCCCGTTTTGCATGTTTCTCGGAAGCAAAATGAGCAAGAACGCTCGTTTTTACATCATTTCAGAGATAACTGAATGGCCTTTAGTCGAAGTTTCTCAAGAACCATTTGAGCCACAGAATTCGTTTTGGTATCGTTGGATAGAGAATTGAAAAGTCGATCCAGTCGTAACGTTAGTGAGGAAATTCGAGCAGTTTTGACCCAAAAAGCGAAATTTAAATATCAAACACTTAGGTTCAAGATTATGCCAAAATTCCATGTTTTCCGTCCCATTTTCGTCCATTTCTCGGAGGCAAAATGAGCAAGAACGCTCATTTGTACATCATTCTAGACAGAAATAAATGGCCTTTTTAGAAAGTGAACCATGGATCGGGAAATGTTGGCAGTTTTCTCAAAAGATGGTTGAATTCAAGAAGTTTTAGATTTGCGTGGTTTTTTTCAGTTGCAAAGTCCACTTGAACATAACGCTGCTTTTTTCGAAGTTTCTCAAGAACCATTTGAGCCGCAGAATTTGTTTTGGCATCGTTGGATAGACAATTGAAAACGCGATTCAGTCGTAACAACGTGAGTGAGGAAATTCGAGTAGTTCTGATCCAGAGAGCGAAATTTGAATATCAGACACTTAGGTGCAAGATTATGCCAAAATTCCATGTTTTTCGTCCCATTTTTGCTAATTTCTCGGAGGCAAAATGAGCAAGAACGCTCATTTGTACATCATTCTAGACAGAAATAAATGGCCCTTTTAGAAAGTTAACCATGGATGGGGAAATGTTAGCAGTTTTCTCAAAAAACGCTTGAATTCAAGAAGTTTTAGATTTGCCTGGTTGTTTCTGAGTTGCACAATCCACTTGAACATCACGCTGCTTTTTTCGAAGTTTCTCAAGAACCATTCGAGCCACAGAATTCGTTTTGGCATCGTTGGATAGACAATTAAAAAGTCGATTCAGTCGGAACAACGTGAGTGAGGAAATTGGAGTAGTTTTGACTCAGAAAGCGAAATTCGAATATCAAACACTTCGGTGCAAGATTATGCCAAAATTCCATGTTTTCCGTCTCGTTTTTGCTCATTTCTCGTAGGCAAAATGAGCAAGAACGCTCATTTGTACATCTTTCTAGGCAGAAATAAATGGCCTTTTTAGAAAGTGAACTATCGATAAGAAAATGTTGGCAGTTTTCTGAAAAAAAGCTTGAATTCATGAAGTTTTAGATTTGCGTGGTTTTTTTTTGAGTTGCAAAATCCACTTGAACATGACGCTGCTTTTTTCGAAGTTTCTCAATAACCATTTGAGCCACAGAATTCGTTTTGGCATCGTTGGATAGAGGATTGAATGGATGGATCCCCCTGGATCCGCCCTTGTTTGGACACTTTTCTTGTACAAGTGAACGGCCTAATAATAGTTTCGTTTGTCCACCGCACAGGTGATTAGCAAGAAAGTCCATTGCCTTAATCACCGTGGCAGTTAACGGGCGATAATGCGCGGTGTGAAAAATGAATGCAGCTTGCCATTATGCGGCAAAAAATAATAATTTCGAATCGGTTTTCGGGTGTCGTACCAAAAAGCAAACCATTTTACAAAACTTCAGCGAGCGGTAAAACAATCCATTACAGCGAAACCTGCAAAGTAAGGTGCAATCCGGAAGCTTTTAAGCTGCGGCGGCGACTTTTTCGGTCCCTCGAGGGCCCCCCGAAGACTCCACCTCGTGTCGATGACAAACACTGTTCCCTCTCTGGTTTTGCAGTTATGTAAGAGCGCCGATTAATCGAAAACGTATTTGGCAAATAACTTTTGTTTGCTCGCTATTAAGCAATGGCAAGGTCGCTTTTGAACCACTGCGAAATTGATTCGTCGCTTTTGTTTGACTTGGCAGGCACAGACTGATTATTAAGGGATCCGGCTTGAACGATTTTTAACCGACGATACAATCTTCTCATCAGTAGATCATCAAAAGAGCGCGACCACATTCTTTTACTCAAAGGAAGGCCTAAGGAAGGAACATAAGTTTTATTAAGCAAAAATGTCCAGATCCTCTGCTATGGATGGTTAAAGTTCTACAAGAAAATCAACTTTATTGAAATATCGAGAGAAGAGTAAGATGGCTTTTAATGAAACTTGCTGGGAGTTTGCTTGTTGTGAGTGGTGAATTTTGCCGATCTTGGTCGTGGCCGGTAGGAAAACTACCAAAAGTTTTTATTTGGCTGCTGGAACCAACTGATTTTTCTCCAGTTGAAACACTGGCTATTTTCGGACATTTTTTTGCTCTTTTTAAGGTCTTAAACATTCATCGTTTTTGCGCAAAAACAGCTATTGCCATTAAAAGTCACTAATTGTTGGCCTCAAAACATCGATTCTATCATCGGATATAAAAAAATTGCAGAACTTTGGCCACACAAAGCAGAGGATGCAGACATTTTTACTTAATAAAAATTAGGCCAGATCGCCATCTTTTGACCCAAATAATATTCTTTAAACGGAACATCCTGTATATACATATTGAGGAGCTCCCTAAGATGAAACTTTCAGTTGTTTTGAGCTCCGGGTGGCAGCTGATAGTTAAAGTGTGCCGAAAATGTCTATTATTTCGGATCTGAAACTTCTAGCATGTTTTTCAATGAGTTCAATGCATTGCTAGCATCCGTGAGCTCAAAATGATGTAAAATTTAAGAGATTTTGAGGAAATTTTAATTTTTGCAGAAAATGGAAAAATTTCGGCCCAAAATCAAAATTTCACATCCGTGTTTTTTCAGCTCAATCGATTCCTTTCGACGTAAGAAGGTCACAAATATCCAGTTATAAAGCGTTTGGGTCAATAATAAGGAAGAAATCGTCGGTTGAAGATCGTGAACGCACAAAAAACGCTTAAAATATGCCAAAAATGTCTATTTTTTCGGATATGAATCATCTCGCATGTTTTTCAGTGAATCCTATCCATTCCTCGCGTCCGTGCGCTGAAAATGAGGCAAAATTAAAGACATTTTGATAAAATTTTCGCTTTTCAAAAAAATCGACCCCCACCCTTAAAAAAATTTCGGTCAAAAATCAAAATTTCGCATGCGTGTTTTTTGAGCTCAATCGATTCCTTTCGACGTAAGAAGGTCATAAATGTGCATTTATAAAGCGTTTGAATCAATAATAAGGAAGAAATCATCGGTTGAAGATGGTGAACGCGCAAAAAACTCTTAAAATATGCCAAAAAGTCTATTTTTTCGGATCTGAAACATCTAGCATGTTTTTCAGTGAATCCGATGCATTCCTCGCGTCCATGCGCTGAAAATGATGTAAAATTTAAGACATTATGAGAAAATTTTCATTTTTTCAAAAAAATCGACCTCACCCTTGGAAAAATTTCGCCCAAAAATCAAAATTTCATATGCGTGTTTTTTGAGCTCAATCGATTCCTTTCGACGCGAGAAGGTCACAAATGTGAAGTTATAAAGCGTTTGGGTCAATAATAAGGAATAAATCGTCGGTTAAAGATCGTGAACCCTCAAAAACGCTTTAAATGTGCCAAAAATGTCTATTATTTCGAATCTGAAACTTCTAGCACGTTTTTCAATGAGTTCAATGCATTCCTCGCGTCCGTGGGCGCAAAATGATGCAAAATTTAAGACATTTTGAGAAAATTTTAATTTTTCTAAAAAATCGACCTCCATTCTTGGAAAGATTTCGGCCAAAAATCAAAATTTCACTTGCGTGTTTTTTGAACTCAATCGATTCCTTTCGACGTAAGATCACAAATGTGCATCTATAAAGCGTTTGGGTCAATAATACGGAAGAAATCGTCGGTTAAACATCGCGACCGCTCAAAAAAACGCTTAAGTTTGGTATACTTTGAACTTATTAAGCGCATGCATGGCCCGATCGGGTAGCAATTTTCTCCATAATTTCCCATGGAATGATAAATGACAGGCGCTTGTCAATGAAAAAAGGCGCTTTGTAGTTTACGTACACTTATCTCCATTGCAAACGCCGTCTATCGACAGATGCACAATGGTTTACTTAATATTAATGGCGCGGATTATGATAAAACGAGTAAATTTCTCATCGTTTATCATGGGTAAT